GTAATAACCTCATATTATTATGATATTAAAACTGTCATAATACAGGATGCTACCACTATTTTCAACATATTTAATATCTCAATCTAACAGTGTAATTTAGCGTAAGAAGCAGAAAAAATACTGCAACACGCATACATGTATCACTTTAACCTTTTCATCACCAGTTCCCTCTTTCCATAATAAGTTCAAAAAATAGTCCCGTTAATTCAATGTAGTCTGCACTTTCTTTCAGATTATTGGGACTGAAAAGGCTAAATTTTTAAGTAAAAACTGAAAATTTATTCAAATTTTGTCTCTTGGCTCCAAAATTAGGGTTCATTTCCAGAAATAATGCAGAATATTAAACAAACTGCAGAAAAATTTGGGTGAGAAAGTCAGGCGGAGAAAAGGTTAAGGTAATGCAATCTGTCAACACAACATTTAATGTCAGTAACATTCTTGATGTCAAATGTTTTATTTAGTTCATTATGAATATTCTTTATATTATACATGCCACATCTCATTGCAAGTATTTAAAACTCTATATTAAGCAGGGATTTTTTTAAACAAGAGAACAGGCACAGCGACCTCATGCCATGGCCATGCACCCCCTTACCCTGGGGAGCAGATCCTCTGGCAACCATAAAACCAGTCTTCAACTGTGACCTGTTTGATAGTAATTTTGGTCCCAAGGAAATCATAGAATGTTCCATTTTAACTTAGAATTATCAAAAACTCCACATCCTGGTAGGAAGAACCCATCTTCCCTACTTAAGAGGACAGCTGAATTGCAGTACTCCCTCTTGCATTTTTTTTCTAGAAAAACCCCTGATTAAGTCACAATATTATGCAGATTAAGAGATACTGAACATGACAAAGTTAGTTCAATCATTACCTCCATGCTTCAATCCTCTGACTTACAATGTCAAAATACAAACAATGTTGTATTTGCTCTATTACTAGCGCAGACAATTACATAATCAACACAGGTGTGTCTATGGTCAAAATAAGTCAATGATCAAGCATACAATAAAAACAGTTGGTTCAAATGCGCTAATAAAGACAAATATGGTAAATTTTTCTGCTGTCTAGTATATATATAACATTAAGTTTGATTGGTGTGCAGCTGTGCACATCTAGTAGTGTTGTTGACCGGAATCTCTAAAATTAGGTCATTCATAGATGCGACAAACAAAAATTGTGAACACTACCCACGAGTCACCTTTGGGAGAAATATATTTAATTTTGATTAATAAAGTGCATCAGTTTATGTAAAATACAGTCACAAAGTCAATGGTCAAAATATGCCTCACTTTAACTATACCGATTACTGTAAAATCTGTATTACAAACTGCAGCTTCTATTAAAATGGTACAAGGCAACAGCTTCTAATGGAGCACCTACACGTATGAGAAATGACGATTATTTGGTTCTCAATTATTCAAAAAGAATGGGTGCGACTTCTATTAGGGATGTGGTTTCTAATACAGATTTTACTGTACAAATTATGCTAGAAATGCTCTTCTAATAGAGCAAATAAACAAGGACTTAAGTATGAATGGTACAAGTTTTTTTGTATACCATACTTTAGATTTGACCAAGACATAAGTCAACTTATTTTATTAGTTTATTGCTGTAGACTGATAGAAAGATTGTATTTCTAAGGATGCAATAAAGATTATTATTATTATTATTATTATAACCCCAACAAGTTTTAAGTTACTTACATACAGTGCACTCAACAAAATAAACTGATAATTAATGCTAGCATGATTCGCAGATAGAAATCAACAAAAACAGGAAGTGTACATCTCCTTTACAGAGTTGCCCCCCCCCCCCCATCCCAACTTAAAATGAAAGAGCTACTTTAAAATAGTTTATTTTAGCTGGAATTAATTTTTGCTCAAAAGAATTTTTGGATGTTTTGTGTGGAATACAAAACATTTTGTATTTTGACAAGGTTAATTCAAAATATAGGAAAAAAGGTTTATTCGCTGGATTTTATTTTCACTGAATCATTCCTTCAGCAAAAATAGCGAAAATTAATTCCAAGCGAAAATAAAGTATTCTACAGTATTATTTTTGTTTACATTTGTTGCAGGCAGTATTTTATAGTACGCCTTATTCAACATTTAAGTTTTCACAGGATCTTGGTGTAACATCACTTCATAGCACGTAACTATGTTTCAAATCAAATCAGAGAATTGAGCTAAAAAATATCATAATTTGTAAATGGCAGGTATCATTCACTAAGTCCTCGGGAAAATAAGTTTGTCAAAATTGTGGCATATCATGTCAATCTGGTTTAAAACCACAGGGGGCAATGACCTCAGTTTGACATTGCCAGCAGACTGGTAATCGAGTTGGTATGTAACACAACACGATTCATATCAACACAGAGATACATACAAAACAGTTTTATCCCTGATATTCGATATGTATTCTGTTTCAAGAGGTCCTGTTTAAAGAGGGTTGAGCGACAACCATGAATAATTCTGGGGTACAGCGGAGATTTTTACCCTGCATTCCAGAAATATTTGTGGGAGAGGCTCACAATCCTCGAAATCTTACGGGAGGAACTGCGATCGTGATCGCGTTTACACGTCGAGTTTTGATTTATCGTTTAATTAGCAGGCTGCAAGGCTGGAAGCTTCCAGAAAAAAAAATACATTATTGCAAAAGGGTGCAACAGGAACAGGGCGCAAAGTTCAACCCGTGCATTTAATGATCATCAGAAAAACTTGCATACTACTTTACCATTTTTGGTATGACCATTATCGATCGAACTCGATCAACACGACATTTTAAAGAGGTACCGGTCACAGTGCGGACCGACAGAAACACAGACACAAATTAGTGAAAGACATAAATTGTCTACAACAGTGTTGTCATGGACGTGAAACGTCTTATTAGCGGGAAAATGTACAAAAGTGGGATTACTCTGAGCTGGTTTATCTAAGGCCGTGCAAGTCAGAACCACCTGTGTCGAATTTTAGTTCGTCCCGTCGCTCTTGAAGTCAAAACAAAACCACGTACCCCGCACACACTCCATAGGCGAAATAACGTTTCAAAAATGTCTAGCATAATATGACAGTTATGTATAGCCCCCTTACTATAACTGAGGATTTGCCTCATGTCAAAAATTTCAGATAAAATTAAAAAAAACTTGGAATTACCTGCAACTTTAGTGATGGTGGTCTTGTAAGAGCTTTGACCTCAGTGCTCAGAGAGCTATTAGCATACACACACCCTGAACAGTTTACTACATATAGTTCCGCGTGTCACGTTAAAGTAGTCCTAATATAAGCAACAATTTTTAAATATTTATAAATGTACCCCCAACAGTTTTACATATTCTACATTTCGTGCTTTTAATTAGTGGTGATTATTGTAGATCATTAATATTATCCGTCAAATCATATGCTTAACAAACGCGGACTGATACCCGGAAAACGCACCACGCCCGAACGCACTACTTTTGTTGAAACACACCTATATGTGACTGACTCCTACGCTTAAATTGTTAGCAAGATGTCTCAGACGAGGACCCAGACGCCGGTGACCAAGACTTACTGTAATAAATCCTTACTAAATAAATAGTAAAATGGCATTTTTTTTATTGTGAATCATGGCTATATCGCAACGATAAACATTGGTGGAACTGATAAGATACCTGGCGATATGTGTGTCCCTGGTGGTGCCACGCCCACTCACACGTGAACCGTTCGTCATCGACTGGGCTGTTTCATAAGAATAGTATGATTGTGGGTTGACAATGTGAAAATGGCGACGGAACTTGCCCACCGACAGTGAAATGTCTATATTCTTTCGGCTGTCGTACAATAAAATAAAATACAATTGATAGGAAATCGAGACTAGGGGATACAATAACACAGATATATATGACAGAAAGAGTTTATTTTGGGAGAAGAACGTCATAGAGGATGAAGAACATTTTCTGAAAGAAAAATCTTTATCACCCCCACATTTAGCAAAAAGTAAAGAAAAACTAAAAAAAATTATTTTAAATAATGAAGATGAGAAAACAATCGTACAAATAGTGAAATACAAAGAGAACTGTTTTAAACCCAAAGATAAATTGAAAACAGTAAAGTCAGCTACCTCAAGATAAGGTCATGAACATGCATTAGTAAACTAAAATATTTTACCAACACAAATATGATGAACATTCCTCTTTCTTTTTTTTTCCATGGTTTTTGTACCTCAAATTGTTTGTTAGTTTTGTTGTTTTTCCTTGCTTGTTATTTGTTTGTCTTTATTCACATCTGTATTGCATTTTATTCAAAATCCTAATAAGGATACGGACGCAATATAGATAACTATTTTTCAGTCCAATCAAAAATGTGCAACACAGAGACAGCTTCACGAAGTTTCGCATTTCTTATTACTCATTTAAAAAAAAATATATACAATAAAACACCTCCAGAGCAAAGGTCTTGTCTTCTATGTAATGAACAGGCTATTTGGGATGAATTCCATGTTTACTCACATGTCTAAATAGTCAGATTGTTCAAGCTCGTACTATTTTGAAGTTGAAATAGCATTTTTTTTTATTTCTAAGCTTAAGTTTAGTCTATTTTGGACAATTAACTTGAATTTTATTTTATGTTTTTTTTTTCATTCATATTAACTTTTGTGTTAAATGAAATATCTATCTACAAAAGTTCATGAGTAGAAAATACGTAGTTCAATAATGGTAATTTTATTTTATGCGTGTTCTGCACCTTTCCTATAAATCGCGCCATCTCGCGACGAAACATCTCAATGATGTGAAATGGGTGACGCAAGAGCTGTTCAAATAGCCATATCGTTTTGATTTGTAGTTACATGACCCATTAATAGAGATTATGTTTTAATGAATGATACTATATTCTAACTATTACACAACCAAGCACAGTTGTTGGTCTGAATCATATTGTGTAACTTTGCCGCCACAGAAGCGTTCCATCATCACGGGGCCAGAAAACGCGGTTTATAGAAATGGTAGTGTTCTACTCTATTCAGATACGACTGTTGAAAAGCATCTGGTTATATTGAATAATTACCAAGAACAACGATTAACAACCATTTTTCTACATACCATATGTGTCAGCCTAGGTCCGAGTATCTATCGACAATATATTTGTTCAATTAGCGTTGTTCCGAAGTCAGTCTGCATGTGATGAATAAGGGGAGCGTTATTATATTGCAAAATTCTCAATTTTTTGTTGGACTTTGTTAATTTGAGAACACCCCCAATTCCTGTGGTTTGTGGAATAGTGTATTTAGATAGTATGAGGATACATCATTAGATCACCATTATCGATTGGTTTAATTTTGAAAAACAATTGTCCTTTCGCAGCTCGTCGTATGTGGCGCTATTGATGTTGTTTTTTATGATATATGAATTTCATGTCAACAGAGGGAGCAGTGTGTCACTCATGCACACTTTTTTGTGGTTTATTCGTCTTTTGTTAATTTTGTTTTTTCACTATACAGGAATATATTCAGTTAGAGAGGAATGAATTGATTTATTTGTGAAAACTACGTAGTGGTGGGCTTTCCAGCAGCAGTATGTTATAAGGATGTTTGATTTTAACAATAAAATATTCTCATAACACAATATTCTACTATGCTCACGTAACTCTGCGTCGTTGAAATTATTTGTTATCGCACACAGCTCCACAGCTTTGAGTTCGAGTGCTCTGATGTGTTTTAAATCCGCCATCAACGGTGAATAACCATCGTTACTTTGTTTTGTATCCGCTCATCCAACGAGTAAGAGATAGTAAGCTGGAACGTTCTAATTATAACTTAAATATTCAGAACGGTATAAAGGTCAGGGTAACTTTTATGAAATTACACCTGTTATGTAAGGCAATGAGCACCACTCCACTGCTGTCTTTTCAAGGCTGTATACGATTGTTGACATGGTTCTTCTGGCCTGTTTTTTTTTCCATAAAAATGATTCAATGTAATCATTTTCGAAATGCATTGCGCCATTTGATACCTCTTTTTTAGTTCTCGACAGCTTCCGTTTTTCAGTTTCTCGAAAAAAACTATAAAAATAATTTCAAAATCTAGTCCTACTATAAATATTTTCGTTTTTTTTTTTAGTGTTTAGTGTCTACCCGTAACCGTTGAGGGCAGCATATCGAAAGCCTGTACATGTACAGTGGTTGCAAATGGTCACGATGAATGTTAACCTGGTTGA